CGAAATCCGCCGAAACGTCAGCTCATTTGTGAATAAAGAATAATAACACCTCGCGTTTGCTCAACAAAAATACGAAGAACCCATTTGTGTTGCAAGGCACCTCTAACCACGCATCCATCCGAATGACAGTTATATCGATCATTTATGCCGAGGTTTATAGAATGTCGCTTGGTTGAGTTATGTTTACATATATGTGCGTTGCATATGTATAGACGCGTTTATGTTAGCACGATGGTTGTATGTATATGAATATCCGTTTTCTTTAATGTGTCCAATTTCTCACACGCCATTAAATTCGCTGTGTTTCACCACAGCTGGTCGTCGAGTCATTCCTCGATAAACGAATTTTTTGTCTTCTTCTAGTACATTGATGAGTATTTATCGCGACAATTCCAGTCCTATTCATGATTGTCGTTTTTCGGCTTCCGGAAATTTTATTCCGCTCATCTCTATTCTCTACCCTCACTGAAGCCACAATGACGACTTTTTGGAATCCAACGTTTCATTCATCAGTAAACAACTCTCCTGAATATAAGGGCGCCGCCGAGAGAGGTTACCTCACTCGACCGGTGCTCTACTGGATTCGACTCGACGTGAGAACGAAGACCCAGGACGAACGGCTGTGGGCAATCGGCTCGAATCATTGCGGCTGTGAAGAAGGCGAAGGCGCGGAGACGTTAGTCGCTATAAAGTTTTTGTAGGAACATAATTAGTGATTTTGTAATCTCACTTTCCTTAGCGGTTATGGAGACGGGTTTTTCATCCTGACATCATCAAAACGGCCTTGTTGGTCATCTACAAGAAACACGCATTGATGCTCGATTTTGTGGCGGGTATTCTCCTTGTCCACATTTTCCCACAAATCCGTCGGGTCTTCGGAGTCCGGCTCGGCCTGCTGTTCTTCACCGTTTGAATGGCAGGCGGTCATCCACGGCGCAGGGCGGGCCAGAGCGATTCGGTCGGCGCTCGCTCAGTTTTCGCGGTCGGACATCACCCATGAAGTGTCGTCTTCGTTGATTGATCACTATGAATGGGACCGGTTTAATACCATCAGTATATTTGTTGGTTGTGACTGCTAGTTTCATCCACAAAAAACAAAAACAGGCTTTTCGCCTTCTATTAAAAACCCTCTTCTGAATTTCACCATATCTTTTTAGATGTTGAGATTATTTAGGTAAGCATTCAAAAGTGTATAGTTGCAGAACTGTAGACTTCTTTAAACCTTTTTTTTCCAGTCTCGTTTTCTTTTCCCTTTGCTGAACTTTCATTTTTGGTCTCACTTTTCTTTCCTTCCTTCCTTTCTTCCTCATTCTTAGTGCCAACATGGGAAGTTGAAAGGGTCACGTCGTAGCTAGTCGTCCTAGGCGCTTCTGTTGTGCTTTGGCTTATCGGCGCTGATCTCACTTCATTGGATTCTGATTTACTCTATGTGGAAACTTCTATACTCTTTAGCACAGTTTCATTATGGTTTATTACGTATTTTCTTGCTCGTTTATAAATTCACTGATAGTTAAGGCGAAAAAATCTCGTTCCGGAATTATCCCTCTTGTCGTTGACAATCTGACAAACTGTCCCTTCCCTTGACAGTTCACTTCTAAAGTGTTGGAAGTAATGAATTCTGTGTTCATTTTTATCACGAATACTGATAAACTGTTAAATCCTTCTCATTTAATTTATTAGGCATCTCTGGAATTTGTTCCTTTTGACGTAGACGATTTCGATTCTGAGCCTACCCATTATGCGTTATAGTTTTTCTAGGCCGTCTAGAAAATTGCGACAACGTTCCACTTGCGTGCACTCGATCGTCTGTTTAACATTTCCTTCAAACTAACTACACTCTTCATTAATTCGACATAAAAAATTAGTGTTTGATTCGCTTGAGAAAGAGGCGCTTTACGTCGAGTGGACTGATCTTGAAATGTTGGCTTCCGGCTGAGCTCACATGTTGTGTTTCAGAGCATTAGAACATGAAACTTGCGAACTTGGCCAGCACATTTTCGTGAGTGATTTCCTCCATTTCCTACCGACCATTTCAGCCAACTCGTGTTGCACCATATCTTCGCGGGCCATCTTCGACGTCAATTTCACTGATACATCGGTACCGAGAAAAGGCTCTGTTCACTGTGCTGTGAAAGAGATGCTCAATATCTATATACAAATTGCACTTTTTATTAATTTTCTGAAGGATGTACAAAAAGATTAGGTGGAGGCTCTTAAGATTTCAGTAAACTTGTGCATGCACTTTGCAGTCAACGATTGCTGTATTCCTTCTTCTGCAGCTACCGCCACATTGCAGAGCTGTAATTATAAGAGGTTGCCCTAAGTTTTGGTACGACGTCAACGAGTACCTCCTCGATTTCGCTGTCGTTCGTCGTTAAACTCCCGTAGGCGCTGGGTAGCGGCGGTGGGTGTATACTGAAGGGATGAATGCCAATGGATTGCATGATGGCTGACGGGCTGGGTGTCGGCAAGATCCGTGCTGCTATGTTATGTCGGCAGGCTGTGCTCATAGGTCATGTGATGGCATGCTTGGGTGTGATGAATGGACGTCGTAGACCAGATAAATCTTTTTCTCAGCGCCAAACATCTGTGCCGGCTGCCCCCACGCTCAGCAGCAGAGGTGCACTGCCGTCTTCTTGTCACGACAACTCTTCTATCGCTAGAAATTCTTGGATGCTTTTAGTCTTCTGTTTCCGTCCACAATAAAACATCGTCAACGACTCGCAAAAGAAATAAATGCTGTAAGGAAATGAAGCGCTTTGTAGCGTTCTAACATGCAAAACTATTTTCGCTAATTCTTCAACACACTTACATGAGATCGCTAGTCAAGAATCATCTTCCTTTTGCAATCCTTCATTTCTTTTTCCTTTTCCTCTTCTTCGTATTCTGTGTTGCACAAGGTGCTCTGCTGAAGCAATTGCTTGCGCCATTTATTCCGCTCCTATGAGATCTCGCACGATGACATTGTTCAGTTCCACTTAGTAAGATTCCTTGAACTTGGTTCGTTTTACATCCAACTGACTTCGCTGAACTCTCAGCTTACTTGTGTCCTGAAATTCATTGCTGGGCTCTTTAGACAACAGCACCGTCTAAAAGCTCTGGAAAAGTGTAGATTAAACAAACTGCTAAGATTTTTAGCATGAAGATGAGAACTAGATGGGCTTAGCAAGTCTTTCGCTGATTATTTTTTTTGCTACACTCTTTAGTATTAAACTGTTCATTGCAAATCGATATGTTTACGGAATTGCAGCTACAGAAAACTATTTCACTTGATATGCGTGCTTTCAGAGAGCACCTCCGCTAGGATGAGGATGAAGGGTGAGCGATTTCCAGTCGTCAGAAAGTCACGGCAGCTGCCACCATCGAATAGAAGTCTATGTGTAATCATCAGTTTATCAGTACTTTTCAGTGTTGCTGTTGCTTGCCATAGCGTGCGCTTTTGCCGATGACTCGAAAGAGAATTCAAATGAGGAATCCAAGGAGAGGAACTACCGCAAATATATCGGCGAGAAGGACTACGTGAGATTAACGATGCTATGCACTGATTTTTATACACGAAAGTGATTAAGTATGATATAATACAGTAATAGAGTTGAACAAAACAACTGGGCGTTTGAAGCCGCCCTGTATTTGAAAAAGTTGACATCAGCTATTGAATATTCGAAAGTTCCATGAGATCTTATTTTTTATTTTATTTCGTTTTCTTTCATTTGATCCATCTTCACGTCTATTGTGCGGTTGCTAGCACTTCCCACAATCATTTCGTTTCCTCGTAACCATGGTCCACGAAGGTTTTCCAAGTGTTTACGTGTGGCTTCGGTTGCTGCTTGAGAATTTTCATTTCATCTTAAATATCGTAGAATGCTGGCCCAGCGATTTTTCCTGCAGTCCTGAGATAGCCGGGTTTTAGCGTTCTCACTTGGTTTGATTGGATTGCAAATAGCGATTTTGCCCAGACAACTCCGGTACCAATTTCGCGACCCCATATGGACGAGGGGTTTGGTTGGTCCAGTGCGGAATCGAACTAGTATCATGCTCGTAATGACGGATATGGCGACCGCTGTGCTATTCGCCCCATAATGAAATCTTATGGGAAACGTAATAGAGATATTACGATATACGAATCCGATAAGATACGAAGAATAACAGTTATTACGCTGAATAGGCTGTCAAATAACAATGGAAGTAAGGAAAAGTTCAAAAGTGAATGATAGAGTTCAAGATGATTCGTTTTCAGAAGCTTCCGTTCAAGACTCGCGTCAGCGAGGCATTCGTCGTCGGACAGACTATTCATGCTGTCGGAATGCTCACCGAGAAGCCAACCAGGTAGGACTATAGTCAGGCTGAACCACTCTCACAGCATTCAGACGTTTGGCCACCATGGATAACTGGAGCCGTCGTGTTCTTTACATTCACGACGCCTTAAGAAAATGTATCCAATAGAACTAGACGAAGAGTTTCATCTACACTGATCTACTTTTTCTCTTCGTATCAGCGAAAGTGGGGTGATGGAAATAGATATCACTCGCGAAAGATCTTCATGTGTGCACAAGCTATTATTTGTTCAACAATTCTAGTTCTTTCAACTATGATCAACCTGATTGTCTATAAAAGCTCTTTGTGAGTATTCAGTCAGTGGTGAAATAGTCAACAGTTTTACAAGCTGATACAAAAGAAAAGAAGGTTTCTCGTACAGACTTCCATCAGACGGTTCGCTGCTCTAGTTGTCGTTTGTGCTTGTTTTCCGCATATTTTGTTTTCTATTGCCACCTGTTTCTTCTCCTCTGTTCTCTTTCTTCACATTCACTTTTCTGTGCCAATCTCTGTCCTGTTATTTCAAAATAGTTATTTTTTATTCATAGTTAGTTTACATGGCGCAGTGGTGTGCACTGCAATGTCCGTAGATTCTATCCCGAGTCCCTGGCTCACCAAGTTTTCCATCCTTCCTAGGTTGGAAAGTTGGTACCAGAGCTGTCGAGGAGGATAACAACACTGGTTCGATGCATTGTAAGGACGGCGCGTGTCATCATTGTAAAGGAAAAATATGCATTTAATCACCTGTAACGATGCTTGATGAAGATGAATGCATGACGGATGCCTCAGAGGTTGATCGATGCCGAGAGTTTTATTCTCTTATTTTATCACCTAATTATTCCATCTTTTTTCTCCTTTTCTCCTTCCTCATTGTTGATCTCATCTCTTAGGTCAGTGGCTAGCGATGCATTTCATTACGAAGCGAGGTGCCGGTTCGGCAATCTCTGCAACGCTCTCATCTAATCCACGTCGGAACGCCTTAGCTCAGTCCAAATTGCAAGGAGGATTGATTCGACCAGCATTCTACGACATTCGTAATGGAGGCAAAATCCTCAAGCAGCAGGCGGAAGAATACGCGGCATTTTCAAAGACGTTTCTGCATGATGAGTGAGACGAATCGAATCGAGTGCAAGAAGTACTGAGATCCACGCAGTAGATATGACGACGGGTCATGTAGAAAAAAATAGAATGAAAATTGTTTTATCTGCTCTTCTAGCGTTCGCATGCTCGATCAGAATTTTCTCGATTCTGCTTGCTTTGTGTCATTTACTTTTTTCTGACTGTTTGTCGACCTCTATTTCTTGCGACACCAAATTTTTTCTCACTTTTCGTTTCTCTTTTATGGTCCTCCTTCCGAAAAATTTGCCTTTGTTTAGGATTGACTTCAATTTCCACAAAGGTGCTGCCAAAGATGCCGACCTACCATTACACTTCTCCATCCGATTTGACGAAGGTGAAGCTATTGTACTCTGAATGATGCCTAGTTGCGTAGTTAGATCACCTTTTCTTCAAAATGTATTCGGCCTTCAGCACTTCTGTTCGCTTCATTGTCTTGCAACTGTCATCCACGTGATGGTCAGGTTCTTCCGTGGATCTTGTGATACTTGAGGGTTTGTGCCCTTATTACCGACATATTGAATGTTACACGAAAGTGGTTTGCCGTGAACTCTTCACACTATCACACTGGTGCGCCATCAGCTCTTCACCACGGCCACATAGGAATCCGTGGGGCTTTACTGCTTTCCGACAGAGATTCTTTCAGAATAGGACCTATTTCTGTGATTGGTCGACTGACTGGCGATATTAACTAGACTAACCGGCTTCACTCTTGAACCACGTAAAAGCTAAGAAGCTTGTTTCAACAAAAAGTATCACATGAAATATATTAATGTGTGTAGTTAACTGCTATTTTTTGCTGACTTTAGGATTTTTCTCTGGGAAACTCGTTTACAACACCTTCAAAGACGGCAACTGGTCGGATAACGAACAACGCATTTCTAATCCGTTCAAAGCTGGCCAAGAATTCGATCTTCGAGTGAGAATCCTCGAGGGGAAGTTCCAGGTGTGACTTCGAGACACACATACCATGTGGTCCTTGTTTAATTTGTTTTATCTGACCTTAGTGTAAAACGTATGCACCGGAACCTTATTGCTCCAACCGCACTGCGAAATTTTCCGTCTTCTCTGGAGACCTGAAAATAAGCCATATCCTTTTGGTCTATTGCTATTAAATTCGCATAGAATAAAAAATGGTCTTCTTTGCGGGATTTGAATATTTTACCTTTACTGGTTTACCGCTGTGCGGATAGTTCACTTCTTCCTTCAGCTCTGAGAATCTCACTCAAAGAACCTTGGTGTTTGAAACCAGCATAAAATTATCAATACTGATTATACCACGGCTTGTATCCAAATTATTTCCATCGACTAAGTTGGTTTTACAAGTATTCATGAAGTTGGATTTTTCAAGTGGATCATGGAAGTCCTCGTTGGACCTTCTTCATCTTTTTAACTTTCGCTTATGTTCCATAAGCTTACCATTTTGGTACACGACCAGTTTTCTGGAAAAAAATTTCTCAACGACTAAGTGAAAATGCACTTTCTGTTTTCATCACTGAAGTATTTAGGTATTCGCCAACAGAGTAGAAGTCGGCATCTTTGAGCAGCGTCAACCACTTGATGGAGTGAGTTTTTTCTTATTTTGCTAAAAATAAACTGAGAAGTGAACCCAGTTGCCGAATATTTTTTCAACCTTCACAGAATATGTCTTTTAGTGATCGACCATCCAAATTTCAGTGTTGATCATTAAGTGATTCTTTCCATGCAACATTTTTACTAGAATAAAATAATGAAACTACTTATCAGATGTTTTGTCGCTGATCCACATACGACTCTCATTGTCGAATAGTGACCTTCGGCTACGTTCCTTGTTTGGTTATCTACGGACAGCGAAGCCCTACGAAACGTTTTTCTTTAATATTACTGACTTTGTTCGTTCCTTCGGAAGGTCAATCAATCGTCCTATCTTCATGTTTATGAATCGCACCTCTCAAGTGTCTCTCAAGGCAGAAAACATACAAAGGACTTGGCAATGGTTAATTCACCAACATATCGACCCCATTGAGCATTGTAGAGGTGACTGAATGCATGTTTTGTCGACACAAATAACTCACAAGAGCTTGCCAGTGTATCGAGTCAGTAGAGTAGAGCCCCACTCATAACAGCGAGACCCTGAGGAGGGCGAAATCGTTGAAACGTCAGCCATTAACCAACAATACCAACAACAATGGCAACGAAAACCTATACCAACCTCGCATCAGCTCAACAACATCAGTTTTTAAGATCCTATAAATGAATATATCAAGTCAGTGTATTTATCCTTCCAGACACCTTTACTATCAATTTGGCAACTTCGGAAAGACGAATGGCTCGCTTAGTCTACGATACGGCTTCGAACCAATGACCATATTTATTCAGAAAACACCTCAAGCCATTGCGCTACACGCACATGTAGAGAATTATGGAGTCGGCACAAAAAATTTCGAGCTTCTCATTCTTCCTCCTTTTCATTACTCCTTCACATCCATCTATTTGCGTTTTCCTACCTTTGCCTCAGTTCGTTGGATGTCGTGATCGTTCTGGCCAATCGGCGAGACAACAGCTGCACAATATTGTGATAGTCAGTACGTTCAGGTGAATGCCACCTTAAAAGCAAAGAAGTAAAAAAATTTTCTACGTGCCTCCGATCGTGACAGAGAATATTGGCTTAGCCCGGTTAATGCTGGTGATGCTGAAGAGCGTTTATTCACAAGCTTCGACGTCTTGAGGTTGAGCACATTGAGCACAGAAATAGGGTACTGAAAAACTTTGCATAGAGTGGGGTCACTTACTCAACGAATCTTTCCACATTGATTCGCTTTTCTGGACAGGTTAATATATTATATACCCGGACAGCGTACTAGCCAAATTGTGCATTCTCGTAATGCTTCAATGACTTCTATGAAGAGGCGAACAAGGAGAGACCTCGAAGCCGAACATCAAGTTGTAACCGCAAAAGCAAAACTTTTCCGAAAATGGATAGTTATGAAATCTTATTCCTTATTGAGCACTAATTGATTGGTTTCTAGGGTTTCACGTTTCAGATCGACCATGTGTCAATCCGCGGTGATCTGGAAAAACTACGTTTATTCCACTACGGCGGTCGCATTTTTCCGAATCCTTACATGGCAGTAGCTGAGCTGAAACCGGGAAAACGTCTCGACATCTCCGCACTGGCCACTGGTTCGTACTCTCTCTAAAAAGCTCTTTATGATTTCTTCTAGACTGACGAATTGGCCAACGAAGTGACATTGGCAGGCACAGTTATCTTTTAAAGCGAATTAGTCCTTATGTATGGCAACATTCTGTCGATTTAATCGAAAAAAGACCGAAGAAACCTGATTCTGGATTCTAAAGAGGGAAAAATCTGTAATATCTTTGTTGAAAGTGCTCAACTGCGGGGTTATAAACGGACCGAAATTTCGGTTGAAGTATTGTTTTCTGTTTAGGAAAATGTACGAGCAACGTTCCTATTGTTAAAGAAAGTCGCACCAATTCTGTTCACTACTCATTTCATCTGGTAAATACATTACTAGAACTGATGACTATGGAAAATAAAATTTTATCCAGGAACCAGAAAAATCCGTCGAAAAAATTCTAAGAATGAGAATAGTGATGCCAGACGTGTCGACCTTATAGAAGTCCATCAATATTTCATTAAAGCGAGAAAAATCCTGTCAAAGTCACATTCACTTCTCGAGGTCCGACGAGTACCAGCAGATGATTTCTACTCGAGAGCCCTTTTTCTAAATTACTCAAAGACGACTTCAAAGATAGGAATATTTTAGTTGTTATGATTTTACTTGGCACAGCGGTATAACTGCTGATTATTAATCGTTAATTGTGTCTACCTCCCAACTGTTTACCGCCTCATCGTGGCTGGGAGGTGTTCCTGAGCGTCGGCCTGCCATGTACAGCGAGGAGATTCATTCCCCTGGCAAGGTCTACCAAGCTGGGAAGGAATCCGGTGTTTCCATCAGGAAGCCTAGCTAAGAGTAAACGAGTACCAGGATCCACCACCGTCTTGGTAACAAAGTCGCATAATGGCAAATCTCCCTCTGATCCACAAGGGCTGCGACTGCCTGTGGTGGTGAAGATTTGAAGCAAACTTTGGCCAGGCCGACCTCGAGATTCCAGGGAACCACAATGGCTTAACCATCAAATCTCCGAAAAATGGAGATCATGCTAGGGCCCGCACAACCAGTGAGAGCAGGCCATTCAAGTATCAAGTATGAAGTAATTGCGTCTACTACAGTGGGAAACATTAGAGCAGTTTCTATTAGCAACGGCAAAGCCGAGCTTATTTTTGCGCCAGTACAATGTTTCTTTTTTCAGGAAAGCGTGCTAATATCAATCTCTATCGCGAAAACAAAGAGTACGCTCTGCAGGTAGTACAAATGATTTTTGTAAAGAGGGATACACTTACATAACCCATCTTTATAACATTTCTTGCTGTAGGTCAGCGTCAAATTTGAGAAGAAATTTTGGTAGAAAGATCTTCTTTTTCGATTTGTTGGTCAGAATATTTACGAATCTAAGTAAAAAAAAAATCAAGGGCCGTACAGATGGTGGTGATTTGGAGTCGGGGTTATTCAGGTTTCGATCCGATTCAATGAAGGCGCGATCGTCCGAAACGCGATGAACGACAATGTGTGGGGCAAGGAGGAACGGGAGGGAGACATGCCGATCAGCAAGGGCGAAGTGTGAGTCGCTTCTCGTCTCCGGTAGGGCCATAAGCCCCTGGGACAACTGTCTCCACATCCCTGTGCAAGAAACATGCAATCAGTCACATTTCTTCTTTCTTTCTGTGTAGTAGGTTTTTTTATTCGAAGAAAAGGTATCATATCTTGAATTCCAAGGATAGATGGGATCATAATTTACACCTCATTCAGTTTTTCTACGAACACTATCATTCAGTCAGAGGAACACTCACAGTTATGAGCACAGTCTGCAGTACATATTCGATCTCCGCCTAGTAACATCATATCCTTTTGTATTTTAGAGACTAGCAAATTTTCAGCAATTTTCATTTGCGAGGAATAGAGTTGTGGCTTAGTTGTCGGGTTATATTCCTCCGCAGTATGCCGTGCTGAACGAGTCGGATCTCAATCCATTACCGCTACAATCTTGAAAAATACTGAAAGAAGTGTAACGATGCATCTTGCGCCTGATTTCCGCTGTGAATTTCAGCCTCTGGCTGACTGTTGGTCGTTTCAGCTTTGATTTGACGATTATCAACGAGGAGTTCTCTTTCCAAATCTTCTTCAATGGCAAGCGATTCGCCTCGTTTTCGCATCGCGGATCGCCCACCGACATAAAGACGCTCGAGATCGACGGAGACGTCGAGGTAACTCTTCTCAGTTATTATTTCTCTCACTTCTTAACAATTTCCATTGCACATATCTCGAACATGACCACTTTTTGAAGAACAAGAAAGTTTATCTGCTCATAACTGCCAGGTTAGCCTAGTTGACCTTTTAAGAGCTTCATTTGCTGTAAATGTCGAAGACGTTGTGCTCAAGTCGAATCATTTTGCTGAAGACACCATTAGTGAATACACAGAATAAAGGGAAAATATTGAACGATACCTTTCACCACTTTGTGCATGACATTTCTGTCACTAGGTCGGGGTGATTTTGAATTGATTTACATGTGGAGAACGGATTGATGTGATAAAAACGGGTATTCAAGTAGAAATCACTGTCTGCTACCACTAGTTAACAACTGATTAGTTTACTATTTTATTTCTAACTAAAAAGTACCACGTAATTTGAGCTAAACCCACATGATCCTCGCAACGTTTTACCGCCTCATCGTGGGCTGGGACGTGTTCCTGGATGTCGGGCTGCGATGTACAGCCGGGGATTCATCTCCCTGGCAGGGTCTCGGAAGCGGAGGAGTCCGGCGTTTTTATTAGGAAGCTCAGCTAAGAGTAAACCAATACCAGGATCTACCATCGTCCTAGTATCAAAGTTGCATGGTGGCAAATTTTCCTCTAATCCACAAGCGCTGCGATTGCCCGTGGTGGTGAAGACCTGGAGCAGACTTTGGCCAAGCTAACGTCAGCATTCCAGGGAACCACAATGCCTTAACCAGCAAATCTCTAAAAATTGGAGATTATGCTAGAGCCCACACAAGCATTGAGGGCTTGCCATTAAAGTATCGAGTATCAAATAAGAACCCATAAAATAAAGGGACAATGTACAGGAGGTTTACCCAAGATCACATAGTAAAGTTTTCGAACGAACTTGAAAGAAGTCTTTGACGTTATCGAATTGCCTTGATATTATATCCAACGTGTCTATATAAGATTTTAGCAGCAGCAAAATATCGCCTTTTGCAAAGCAAACGCTACTGTTGATTTAGGGTACTTTTAATAGCGAGTCTTCTAACTAGAATTAGAATCAGTTATGTGTTTCCAGATCCACACCGTCACGATCAACGATGCTCCAGGAGTATGAAGCACGTATATGATTTATAGGTTAATCGATCGTCAGTTGTAAATTTGTAATAAATATCCGCCACATGACTCTGCTACCGTATCGTCGATCGGGTCACGATCTACGTCTTTTCAACAACTGCGCCGCAATTGCGTATTGTGCTTCGCTCACTGCTGCGGGCTTGAAATTTGAACACGTTGAATATTCGTACAATACACAATTCAAAAATTTCAAGGTGTCATCAGTTCTGCTGTAGATAACATTGTAAATCATGTTGATTTCAAATTTCCGACGGGAAAGATCATCCGAATGCTGATAACCGGCGGATTGTCAAAATATTTATTCCAACTGAGGAAATCGATGACGTCATTATGGTGCTTCTCTAGCCTTCTAGCGATGAGAAAACCTCACTAAACGCTTTAATCATGAAGTACCAAAAGCATTAGGAGTAAGTACCACGCAAGTGAACATGAATGACTTGAGTTTTTCATTGGTTTTCTTTCGATTGCATACAGTAGTCGCTAACTACAATCTGCAGTCTGGCCACAGTGATAGAGAAAGTAATAGAAAAAAAGGAACTTGTTGAACATTCAGAATTCCACATCTGGATTCCTCTTTTTCAGAGCAGCTTGGTCCTCAGCAGGGAGCTTCTAGAAATAGACGTTATTCCGAATTATACCGAGTAGACAACACTAGACTTTACTATTGTTATTGTCATTATTGTTATTATTATTTTTACTATGAACCCACTGGGCTACTCTTGCACAGGAAAGGAAAAATGGAAGAATTACTGGCGCCCGCTCTAGTCACTCGACGATCAACGGGACTACAGGGGATACAAGTGATTATTACTATGACCACTATTATTATTATGGTGCGTGCAGCGCAGTGGTCGGAAGCACCTTGCAATACTCAGGGATCGATCCCCGCACCCAAAGCTCACCAAGCCATCCATCACTCGGGATCGGCAAATTGGTACCAAATTTGACAGAGAGGATAGTTGCAATGGCTCTATACGTCCTTAGGCGACCTGGAGTCATTGTAAAGGCCGGATATGCACTCATTCACCTTCAATCCCTCAGAGATTGATGGATGCCTACAGCTTTACCCTTTTTATTGTTTATTACTGCTATTATTTTATTTTCAATTTTATGTGTTTTAATCCATCAAGTCTCTTGAAGGATAAAAGGATAAAGCTCTCGGCGTTGATCAATCTCTAAGGGATGCATTCGACTTCACTAAATATCGTTGGAGGTGATTGAATGCATATCTGGCCTTTCCAATGACTCGCAGTGGCCTACCGATGTATCGAGCAAGTGCTCCTATCCTCCCGGACAAGTCTGACATGAATTTTCCGCCTTCGGAGGAGTGGAAGACTTGGTGGGCCATGGGCGCAGGAGTGGACTCTACGTGTGTCGTAGTGGCGCCTCCAACCACTACGCCATACACTCCCTATCAAGTCTATTAAGCAGAAATTATAGCATTGCACTGGTTTCAGTGATTTTACAGACCCAATAAAACGCCTCTCACCATTCCATTCGAAATTGCGGGAAAACATTTCTTTATAAGATGCCATTTAAAAAGCGGTTTCCAAGATTCTAGTTTTTGAAGCCATCACTGGTTTGTAAACTTAGATCTCGCAGTTATGGCTGCTTAATTTTAAAATCTACATCTATGTATCTGTACAACTAACTGAGAACTGAGACCTTTAAGTAGTTAGCGTTGCGCATTACCTGGAACTCGTTGTGCAATTTGACAGCCTCGTCGAAACAGAACTGCTTGCCGAGAGTTAGGCTGCACATCACATGAGTGACGAAGTGGATAACCTGAATGGCTGTCATGAAATAATCAACGAAACTTCGATAACAGATTAAAAGTGGTAAATGTAAGAAGGAAGTTGTGCTGGAACTGCATAAACATTCTAAGCCACTTGAAAAACGAATTATGTGCCCATTGTGAAGATGAATTGCTCAGGCCTTCGACTTGGACATGCTAACACTCACTGGAATGTGATGAGACGCATAAGTGACTTACCGTACCTGCAGTTCTCCATAAGAAATCTAGCAATTCAGTGGCACTTTAGAGCAAAAGTTACGTTTTCAAAAGAATGAACCTATAGTGACATGTTCTGTGGTGTATATCGGCTGCTGAAAGGCAGAGGCAGCGTGGAATTCCAGCTTGATGAAGCAGAAAACAAAATTTTTCACAGAAGGAAGGAAAAACTGCCCAATTGTAAAATAAATACTTTCATGCTGATATGGAATTGCTGTTTTTTGTAGTATCGAGGCGGCTATTTCACAGAAAAATTAACGCTAAGGTAATTTCAGAACACCACAAGGCTGGCGGCTTATCCCAGTAGAAATTCGCCTGCGGACAATGAGCAAATAAACTTAACGAATTTCTCTCAAATTAAACCAAGTACAGTGTCATGTAAAGCAGAAGCTGGTTATTCTACTAACAAATGGTTGCCAAGAAACACGCTTGGGAAGACCTCAGGAAAGATCCGGCAACGCTAGAGCAGCCCTCAGCTGTCAATTAGGAGAGGTAACGACGGATTCTGGAGTTGCAGCAAAACCTATGCACAAGCCCAATAATTAGCATCCAAAAAGGCTGCAAAACACCAAAAGAAATGGAAAGAGTGCCGAAGTTCGTGCGAGGTGTTTCAGATATGTTTAGACTATCTAAATATTTTGTGTAAGCTTTTAACCATTGTGATTAGTGGTGTGATTCGTATAGGGAATTCGATTAAATTGGAACGAAACCATACCAAAATAGCAAAACTTTATTCTCATAACTTCGCTACCTTGGACATACCTTCCACGATGAGCTCAGGAGTTGTGTATAGGTACGGTTCTTACTTAAAGAATTTGTCCCCGTCGTTGAATGTTGGTTGAACTAACTCTGCATGCAGCTGTAGTGGGACAGCTCTAATAGAGCTTTTCCAGTTTCCACTGCGAAAATTCGCCAGCCAGATCGTGTGGAAGTTCTTTCCAGAGAACTCTGGCACCATTTCACCATCACAGTAGGAAAGGATGGTTTAAATGGCTTAAGGTGTGATGGAATCAGCAGATATATTGGGCGCATTGCACGGCATTTCTGACTATTGCGCTACTTGTGCTCTTCGTTTATGCAGAATGCAAAGATAGTATAGTTGCTGTAATTGAAAACCTTGGCGTACCTTCGCATCCGCTCAACGCACGCTCTTCTCTTCTTTTTGTGCCCCTATCGCCAATTCTTCTCATCGCATAATCGTCTCATCCATGTTTCGTTTTCAGTGTGTATTATTTTGGATCTCAAAGTTGAGATAGCCTTCAAGAGTATGAGTTGCGTGGTCTGCCTATAAATGGTGTGGACCGGTTACATTTCACCAGGGATCGTTTACTCCCTCTATAAGTATTCCAAAAGTTCTCGACATGGAAAAAATCGTCGATGAATTGCCATCGCTGGTTTTTCATGAACTGGTTTCTTCCAACTTACACGCAACTTTGTCGCTTCTCCCGTCTTGCTGAGCTCTTTGGGCAGAATCCCAGTCTTACTGGTACTTAGTAGTACTGCTCGAAAAGACGACGAGTTTTAATTTAGGCTTACCGAGATTCGAGGATAATAGTGAGAAAAACTCATTTGTGAACGATTTCATACTGTTTTAAACAGTAACGCTAGAGATATGATAAAGCCGCAAATTTTTTGGAAAGAAGAAGAGTTAAATTCGAGTTGCTCACAAATTTATTATTAGAAGGCGTCCTAAAATTTGTCATATATCACAATATTTGCCTTCTCATTTGCTGCCTATTATTTTTTACAGCACGGTATTACGTGAGGTACAACAACAATGATGCTGAGATATTTGCAGAACGTGGACCTCAGACCAGATTCGAACCAACGATTACACTTTCCGGTGGCCACTTGTTACCCACTGCACCAGAAAAGCGAATGTTAACACCAAGGAAAGAAAAAATAATGGGTAGCAAATAAAAAGTTAAGCATTTTGACTTTGACTACAGCCTCAGTCTAATTGAGTTCAATACTGATTTGTGCTTCCCAGATCATTTCCGTTGAAGGGTGATTGTTGATGGTAGCGTTTAACAGAAAACAAGCTAACAGAAAGTCCAAGCAAAGGTCTCAGTGGTAGAGTGGATAACATGTGAGCCTCCGGAAAGGGTATTCGCGGACTCGAATCCGGCCTGGAATCCAAGTTTTGCAAACATCTCCATGTCGTCACGGTTACATCTCTTATAGCAACCATACAATTTGTTCCAGTGCCAAACAGTAACCTGATAAACGTTAAGCATTTTCTGATCGTTCATGAATTAGTTGGAAAAGAAAGCACTTTAGAACACTGCGTTGACTTAGAAGTGCACTGCACTAAGTCGTCCATCAAATGAGCGGCATATTTATACTGTTATAATGATTTTGCATAAAGTTGAAGTCACACCTTTACAAAAACTGAAAACCTGAAATAGAAAGCTGGAATCACGGCCGTTCAGATTCTCTCATAAAAACGGCTATTATGCTGCGGCTTTGTAAGTCGGGAAGGCAAACAACGCAGCCAGATCCTGTTGTCGTACTTCCTGTCACTCATGATTACTCTGTCTCTCGACTAATCCCAACTTCTGAACATGATAAAATTTTTATTACTATATTTTTAATTTTATACGACCCTTCTTCACGTCTGCTACGTGGATTTCAGAAATTCTCACATTCTACTCGTTTCCTCGTATCTATCATCCACGAAGGTTTTCCAGCTTTTACGTGTGGCTTCGGTTGCTGCTTGAGGATTTTCATTTCATCTTGATTGTCATAAAATGCTGGTCGAGTCGATCCTCATTGGAATCCTGAGATAGCCAGGTTGGAACGTTCCCAATGTTACCGCAGAGAGTGATTTTTCCGGACAAGTCCGTACCTATTTTCCGACCCCGGAGGGATGGGATGCTTGGTGATTAAAGATCGAACCAACACCGTGCTTCTGATGATCGGCATCATTACTATCATGCTATCCGCTCCCTTAACACGGTGAGGTATTTAGGAAAAAGGTGATTTCGACATTTTACTTACCGTGTAGGATATCAAAGACATGTATCTTTTCAAGGCTGTTGCTCTTCAATGCAAGATATGGCAACAGTATTTAGGCCGTAGTTAGGTTCTGAATCACTATGGACAAAATAAACTTACTGTCGTTATGCTGTGCAAGCAGTTATCTTTATAGACGATTTTAATACAACAGGACAAATTTTCTAAGCGAATAGACAAATAAGGAGGAAAAAATTAAAACTATTGAGAATTAGAAAGCGTTCTTCCACATATTCGGATGGTAAAGTGTCTCCAGATACGATTGCTGCAGGGACACGACTGAGTTTCTCCGGTTGTTTTCACCTGCAGGTACCGTAAGCCAGCGTTTCACCGTATCCTTACCATACACTTGGAAATGAAGTTAACCCTACATCTGCGAGCAAGCCATCTCAAGTGGCTATGTGGTGGTCAACTGCGTTGGAGGCTCACCTTTTTGCTGTATTCCACGGCGGTCGGACTCATTCCGTCCAACCGGACGCAGTTCTCGTTCAGAACGGCTCGCATTCTTTTGCCGAGCTCGGGTGACTTCGCCGTGACGGCGTCGATCATCTCGCCAACCTCGTTGAAACAAGCGTACTTCTCGAACACCTTGAAAATTCCATTGTTCTTCAGTATTATTCTTTATTGTATCACTAATCTCATGATCAACAAATTCTCAGTAACTTGTCAGGCATTTTGCACGCTTCTAACAAATAGCTTTTTAAGTGAAAATTCTCTATGGAGCCATAATGATGTTGAGATATTCGCAAAACTTTGGGCCCAAGCCAGATTCGAGGCCGCGATTACCTTCCCCTTAGTCGATAGAGTCTTTTCTTATTTTAAAAAGCGTTTAGAAAGAAAAGGGATAAAGGAAAAAGCTATTGGCGTTGATCAATCCCTGAGGAAACAGTCATGCATTCGACTTCATTAAGCATCGTTTAGAGGTGATTGAATGCATATTTGGCCTTCACAATCACTCGCGGTGGTTGCTGTTTTTTCAGACAAGTCTGATACCAATTTGCTCATCCGGCAGGGATGGAAGGCTTGGTGTGCCATGCGCGTGGAAATAGACGCCATGTGTTTTGCAGGCCGCCTCCGACCATTGCGTCACACACGACCATCATTTTTTAGAAATATTCAAAACCAGAATTCTTGCCCAGTAAGTTGGACGTTGAATTATATAAGACTAAATCAGACTTTTTCAAAAGGTGAATGACAATAAAATAGCCCTCATCTAAAGCCGTTTATGCTTATGCTTCGAATGGAGCTTGCGAATTAAAATTTTTACAATACTACGCAATTATTTAACGTTTTGTTTTCTGCCTTCTATAATTTTCATGGCAGGTTACTAAGCGAAATAGAACCACAACGTTGCTGAGATATTTGCAAAACTCTGGACCGCAGGTGTCTATGGTGGGGAACGAACGCGCTATTATCCTTTCCGGGGAGTAACGCGTTCACCACCACACCATGCGGGTCCTTTGTTTCGCACGTCTCTCAGCTATTTCTATCGATCTTTTTGCCACAGCAAATATCTCAGCAACGTTGTGGTTGTATTTCGCTTAGTAACCTGCCATGAAAATTATAGAAGGCAGAAAACAAAACGTTAAACATTGTGATTTCAACTACAGCCATAGCTTAACTGGGTTCTATGCCGATTTGCGCTCCCCAGATCAACCCCGCTGACGGCTGATTGCTGTGGCAAAAAGATCGATAGAAATAGCTGAGAGACGTGCGAAACAAAGGACCCGCATGGTGTGGTGGTGAACGCGTTACTCACCGGAAAGGATAATAGCGCGTTCGTTCCCCACCATAGACACCTGCGGTCCAGAGTTTTGCAAATATCTCAGCAACGTTGTGGTTGTACTACGCAATTAATTCCTTCCCAATGGCTTTCACTCACTTTTATTCAGTTTCTCTTCTTGCTTAATTTCTTCCAATACTTCTCAAATATGCTAGTTTTTCTGACTCATTGTGAATTCATAAGAAATATGATCTTAAAACGAACCTCTTTTAAAATCTCAGATTCCGGTTTTGTGATGCTTTCGGCGAAGTCGAGGTTCTCCTTCGGGAAGAGTTCTCAATTTTTTTTAAATAAATTGCAACTTCCGGAACAAAGCCCTTCAAACCTACTGGTCGGGCGTTTGGTGAAAAAATTAGTCTGCCGTTTTAAACCTATTGTGTTATCGTGTGCAAAACACGAATAATAGTGGTTTGAGAACAAAAAATGGGAAAAAACCAACTTTTCACGAGTGGTGGCAGAGTGTCAATCATTTTGAATCGGTACGTGCCTTGATGGGAATCTGATGAGAAGGAACAGCCTCAATCGATTCTTGAGAAGAGGGAGAATTCCGACGAAATTCAATAATGTTGGTAGCAAGAGGAGAAAAATCAGAGGCGCAAGATAGACGCAGATAGAAAGAACGAGAATAAAGGATAGAACGCGTTCTGCTTCCATTATGAGGCAAAACATAGGAAGAATGTGATGTGAAGAAAAATTCTAAGACCGCAGAAAATGTTTCAGCCATTGCTTTCGCTGGTTTTCAAACTTTCATAATATTATGCCTTTCGATAGGCTGTAAACTCTGTGGAAGCCTCCCCAGCGAATTGATAATCTCGGCTTAAAATGAACTGAAAAAAGCTGGCCTGCATTTTCGATTTGAAGAACTGCTAAATTTCTAATCCAATAATTTCCATCGTTTACAAATCCGTTTTCTATAAAGACAAAAGGATCAAATAAAAGGATAAAGCTCTCGGCGTTGATCAATTCCTGAAAGATGTGCCATGCATTCGACTTTATTAAGCATCGAGTGGAGGTGATTGAATGCATATCCGGCCTTTACAATGACTCGTGGTGACCCACCGATGTATTGAGCCAGTGCTGCTACCCTCCCACAAAATTCTGGTGCCAATTTGCCGGCCCAGGAGAGATGGAAGGTTTGGTGTGCCATGGGCACGCGGATGGATTACACGTGTGTGTTGCAGAGCGCCTCCGACCACTGCGCCATACGTGCCCGTTAGAAGTAAAAAGGATTAAATATTGAGGTAAAATCTAAGAAAGTATTTTTTTAAGTTAACTAGTCAGCAATAAGTGCAGTAGAAATCTAGACTGAGAAAAGGCATCAGGAATTCCACCTGATACTAATCCGTGTTCTACAGAATAGACTGTCATCATGAGAACAAATAATTCCGAATAGCAATCGACCTAGAACCGTCTTATATAAAAAGGCAGTGCTGCGATAGGCTGTCCACTCAATTTTACTCGACACGACCATTATGAAAATCCAGAGCGCAAGGAACAGCTACTGTGGAAAATCCATTTATGTCATCGCGACTCTGAAGAAGGCGAAACCGCCGAAACGTTAGCAATGATAAAGGTTTCCAACAACCTTGTGCAAGTTTGTCAACAAATAAAGAATCATCTGAGAAATCACGCAAATCCACTCAGCACACTTTTGAGACCTAGCTCTGATACGATGATAATCCATCATGCTGTTTCTAACGGGAAAGTTCGATCGTGCTCCAAGGGATTGGGAAAGAATACGGTAACGTTCTCGCCGTATTCGGCGAGCAGATTTCTCGGTTGGCACAAAACTTCTCTAGTGTTGATTCGAGTCATTTCGCTAATTCCCCATATAAATAAAGAACTCTCTTACACATACCTGCACACGCTAACGAGTTAAATACCTTCATTTGGAGGCGTAGTCATGTAGAAGTCTCGTGACAAATAATTTTTTCTGCAGTTTTTTTCCGTCTTTTTTCTGTCAGAGGCTATAGAGAGTTTTTTCAGCGAAGAATTAAAGCTACAAGTTTGCGGAACCAGAAAAGGGAGCGAATGTCCGAAACACTTCGTAATGGGGGTTAAGGAATGGGGCAGGCGGGTTAAAAAACGAAAAACGTCGGAAAAACGGTGGCTAAACAGACAGCCTGTAGGCTTAGAAATAATCATTAGTCAATGAAAATGTTGTAATTGGGTGGAAACACACTGCAAAGGTGCAGAGAGGTCCCATCTGAGCCGGAGCGACTTGTTCACTGCGGTCACGATCGGCCTTGAATGAAGGGAAGTGGCGACGTCAGATTTAAGCGTGTCGACGGCAACCAGTCAACCAATCACCTTGGACTTTGTCAGTTCATATTTGATATTAGAGAAATTGAAACGCTAAGTGTGCCAGTTTTCAGCAACAGAAACTAATTAATCTATCGCTTATTTGCATTCTGCAGGATTTCAAATAGAACAGTTAACTATTAAATGTGATTCTTTTCCTGCTAAAGTGCAGTGGGAACCGGTATTTGGAACATTGCCACGGAGTTCGTTACACATAAGATCGACGACCGATAAACTTATTGAAGAGCGTTGCCGTCGCAAGATTTCGGAACTAGTTGGGGATTCCAGTTTTTCTTCCAATCTTTTTTTTTTAGATACAAACTTCGCCTGCTATACTCTTTGTGCTCTACATAGCACATTCTGGCTCAGTTAAGAGAAATGTACAGAAAGAAAAGATTTCACTCATTGGAAATTGAGCTATTCCAACAATATAGGAAAAGCAGAGCAAAAAAGAAATTTAGTTTACCAGGAAAGAGAAGAATGTAATACGAAAAAGTAAGGGAAGAGGTAAAGCGGAGCAATGTGAGAATCGCGCCGAAGTAGACGCGAAGACAATGATGATTTGCGCTGATTAAAATGAAAAAGGGGTTCATCATGGCTTTTTACTTCTTGTCCAATACGGTTTGGTTCTTCCTGGAAGATCCATGATCCAACTGACAGCTTGATATGAGTATCCACATTCTTTAATGCGGTACGTGAAGAAAAACTTGAAGCATCTCCATAACAACGATGTTTTCAGATATTTTTAAAGATAAGAGGAACGCTATCCTTGTTACTTTGAAGCTAATAGGAAAGAAATAATTATAGATGCTATCCGCAGAAAAATCGCACTTTGAGCAAAACCGACTAAAGACCGCCATGGCGCTGTTTGTTCCAGGGCTACTACGCCTTTTTCACATTTATAGAAGACGCTGCCAGTCGATCGATGATTATTACAACAGTTTTTCATCAACGAGTACCGGATTCGCTTGCGGATTGACGAAAATAGTATCGTTAAAGAATGTCGTTAGTGAAGAGGAAGAACAGACGGAATCACATGACACGATGGAATCTGCGGTAAACACCGTCCGCTTGCTACCTTACTCCCGCCGACCGAACGAAGAACGACGACGTTTGGCGAACGGGACGACGAATACGACAATGCAACGCCCGACTGGCGAAGATGTGACTGAAAATCGAAGAACGTTGACAACATGGCGAGAACCAGCACAATGATAATGATTATAAGATCACGAAGGTGGTTGCCACGCGAACAGACAGGCATCAAATTTTGCACTTCGGATCGGTAAAGCTAGTCTTCGTGTCGAAGTCGCAAGTTTCGCAGACTGTTGACATGTTTGACCTTCTCTAGATAGATATGTTGGTAATCCCTTTCATACTCTTTTCTCAAAACCGTGATGCTATAGAGCAGAACTGGTCGTGAGCGGTAGCAACTTCAAAAGTTGCTTTCAAGGGATGCGTTGAACGGAGACCTTGAAATGATTACGCACTCTACGATTCCTTTCATCTCAAAGGGCTCTCGAGAAACACGTTAACCATTACGTGAAATTAAACACAACGATGAAAAGATATTCGCAAAACTCCTGGAAAGGGAAGTCTTGGTTCGATCTAGCTTGGGATCCAAGTTTTGCGAATATCTCAGCTTCGCTATGGTTGATTTTGCACTATACCCTGCTGTGAAAATTTTTAGGCAGTAAATAAAAAAGTAAACATTGTGATTTCGACTGCAGCCTCAGCTTAACTCTGTTCAATGTCGATATGGGCTCCGCTGATCAATCCCATTGACAGGTGATTGCTGATGTCACTGGTAGGTAGAAAACTAGCTGAGAGGAACGCAGGGTAAGGGACTCCGTAGCGCAGTGTGTAATGCGCGAGCCCCCAGAAAGGGTAACTGCGGCTCGATCTGGTCCGTGGCCCAAGTTTTGCAAATACCTCAGCACCGTTGTGGTTGATTTCGCATAACACTCTTCCATGAAAATTGTTAGGCGGTAAATAAAATAGTAAACATTTCCTGAAATTTTAACAACATTAAAACACCAACTAAGCGTGCATGCTGTTTTCCGAGTGTTGTATGCAGCTAGAATTCCTCTTGATAAATTCCATATTGATTTGCCACAGCCAGAAAATTTTTTGGGCTTTTTTATGCCTTGTGGAGTCCTATCTATAATAACCTTTTTTTGGTATCATATGTGTTATATTTAATTCAGTTCCTGGAGATCTTCTTAGATGTCGAACAGCCATGCAAAGCTGCAGACTGATCTCACCATCAGGGTCACCCACATTGATTAATAATATGACGTTCCCATCAGAAAGACCAATTAGGGCAAACATATTTCACGGCGGAACTAACCACTGTTGGAAACCTAGAGATGGAAAACTTCATTAGAAAATTGCAATGTTCTTAGTGTCCATTGAATGCGGTGAGCCTAGTGGATTCTTCACTGAACAACAAGGGCGAGAGAGGAATTTTGCTGGTACTCACTCTAATTGAGTTGTCTTTATCAGCTTCATTCTTAATTCCGTACAGAACTAGATGCTGAACTCCTAGCTCCTACATATTTTCAGCTGTTAACTGCACACTGGTCTTACGAAGAACTTAATCGGTCAATTTCTGGTTAGTTAAAGGTTCGTAGTCTTTTATATTTAATAGACGAACTCAAATTTTGAACCGAACCTATTAAGTCGAAGTTTCTGTGGACATTTTACAATGGGGAACTTGGATTGGTTTGCAGAAACGAGGAGCTTTTGGTTTCAAATTTTGAGCTATGTTTGACCCATTTTGGTCCAGCCATTAGATTTTTACTTCATTTTTAAGAGCTTTTACCAAAGCCTGTAATTAATTCGTGCTCATACTGGTTATAAATCAAACATTAATTTCTTCAAGATTCCTAAAATTGTTGAAAGAATGCGTAAAATATACGTTTGCTAAAATGCGGGTGGATGCATTCGGACATTTTTCCAGCTCTCAATAAGTTCACTTTTGAAAAAAGCTAACCAGCGTTAGGACACAATGAGTGCTGTATGTTCTATATCGATAGCCTGAGTGAATTCAAGAACAGTGAATGGGAGCAGCAGCGAACTTTTATGAGATTGTGGAACGATATAACCCCTTCTCATCCAATCATTCGAAGTAAGGGTTCCCTGGTCGATCTTTAGAGGACTCGAACTCATTTCGTACGTGCTCCGTTCTGTACTCTGCAGCTTCATTACTCCCACAACGTGAACAAAAGAACTCTGTTTCTTATGAAAACCTTTCGCATCCGTAGCCTTCAAATGAAGACGGATTTACACGCTTTGTCAAATTCCATTCAGTAACAACATTGCATATGAGGACAGAGTCATCCGTAAACGAAGATGCTGTGCTCGCCGGTCATCGAACTTCACACTTCCTGTTTTCCCAGTGTAGTTTTCGCACAACGTTCTTGATAGAGACCGTAAATAATTTTAACGCAATGATGCCACATTAGCGGGACCCATCCACGCCGATGACAATTTCAAGATGAAGTGATAAAATCTTGATCGTGCAGTAGCCAATTAGCTCCTCATAGATCTTTTTACCGGACCTCAGCTGTTTTATTGTTCTGAGGCATCCCTCGCACAATATTGCGTTAATAGTAAGATTAGTACGGTAATGAGAGCAGAATGCTGATGCTTCTTTAGACTGTTTAGCTTGCACAAGATTGTTAAAAAACACTTCATTCGGCTTGCGTTTCGACGACTTCGTCTTGCTAAGAGCCGTGGTGGTCCAGTAGATTGTCGACAGTTGTCCGTCCATGCGCTGTGTTTTTTCATCGAGTTTAATGACTCATTTCATCAGAGGATTCGCGTCGATGTAACCACGAAGATCCACAACGGCTGTGGACAGTCGACTTGGGCCATCACCTCTCTGAGAAGGACGAAAACGTCGAAACGTTAACCGAATAAGAAGTTTTACAACAGCCTTAGGTAAGCTGCTAAACCCAAAAAAATATAACTCGTATGTAATGCTGAGATATTTGCAAAACTCCGGACCACAGGTGTATGCGATGGGGAACGAACACGCGTTGTTGTCCTTACCGGGGAGCAGCGCACTTCACCACCACACCATCCGGATCCTTCGTTTTGCCTGTCTCTCAGCTAGTTCCTAGTTCCTCAAAAAAACATGTTGATTATTCACGCTAAGGTTAAATGAGAGTTGGTTTAGAAAAGCATTGATGATGTTGTTGGATCGGAAGATTATGGTAATCTTCAAACTCTCGGCTTCTCTTATCTCCTACTCCTAGCACTATCATAAAGAGGGCTGATGGGGTGAATGTATTTCAGTTAAATATTGTCAATAGCGGTATCTGCAAGAAGTGTAGCTATAAAAGCAGTGCTTTTTAATTTTTTTTTAAATTTTTTTTAGCTTTCAAGGTTTCATTTCTCTGATTTTACAGCGTTTGGTCCCATATGAAAACTGAACTGAAATGTATTCTTTCTTTGATGAGCTGACACGAGGTTGATAATGATATTTATTTATTATCGGCTAACGTTTCGACGTCTTCGTCTTCCTCAGAGCCGATGATCCGAGTCGATGGTCCATGCTTGTTGTTCGTCTCGACGTTGCAGCTTCGTCTTCGTGTCGA